AACAGTGGCACCATATAGCATTTGTCCCTTTGTGACTGAGATACCTCACTCAGCATAATGTCCTCCAGGGTCACCCATTTTGAATAATATTGCATGAGTTTCCTTGGTACCTTTTATTTTTCTTGCTTTATTATTCTAAGACTTCCTACACATTCTTGAGTACTTTTTATGTGCTGTTGATACCACCTCATAGCTGACACACATCTTTTTTTGTGATAGATTTTTCATTCATTCACAAGAGCTCTTTTATTATGGCAATAATTGTTATTTTTCATCCCCAAGTTCTTTTGTTTTCTACATGATTAGAGGACTTGTTGGCATTTATGGGCTCAAGTTGACTAATTTCTCATCTCCCCAACCCCTCTCTTCATGGAAGGTTCAATGTCAATGCTTGGGTGAAGAATCTTCCTTCTCCTAGGCCAGCAACACTGTGACTTAATGGACACGTCAAGGGGACTGAAGGTTAGGGTTCTGAGTGCATGGTATGTGGAAGCCATCATGCTGCAATTGTATCTCACTGTTTTGAGATGGGGACCCACGTGGACCCCTAAACACTCCATTCGGGGGGGGGGAGGGAAACGTATCATGTGACTCCGCATTTCAATCCATGTTTATTGGATTTCTGTATCTTTTTAAACATAGACTCATGTATTTACCCTTATTTTCCCTCCTTATTCTCCTCCCCGTCATTCATTCTCAAGAGCTCTGTGATTACTATGGTCACGCTTCTTTAACATTTTTCATCCTTATCATCTTTTATACAGGATTTTATTTTTTTTTATTTAAATGTTTGTGATCAATTTATATTGAATTCATTTTGTTATATGGCATGAGGTAGGGATCAGCTTAAAATGTTCCCAAATAGTAAGCCGTTCCATCACACTCTCTTGAATAAATGTAGTTGCCTTCATGATTTGAAAAACTATGTGTCTAAGTTAGACACATTAATTGAGTCAAGCATCAGAGAGTGCAAAGCACATGTAACCATCCTCTGTGGCAATGGGGAGACTCAGTAGCCAAGGTTAAGAGTTACTGGTTAGGGTAAGAATAATCCAAATGTGAAATTGTGTGAGTGTGCACCATGGCTTATCCTGAGGGTAGGGGACTGGAAGAAGGGGCACCAGATGGACTTTTTCTATTAGAAACTTGTTTAAAGAAACCCAAAGAGTAGGCCAACAAAAGCCCTTAACGGTCAAGCTTTTGCATGCACTTAAAACTTTTGGGGCCTTGACACCTCTACCTGGAATGCTGCTGTTGTTGAGTTCGACAGAGTCAGAACAGACCCATAGCTGCCCATCCAGCAGGATGTCAGAGGCAGTTAATTGCTCTGGAGGAAATTCCTGAAATAAGATCTACCGAATTTTGAACGTAATAGGCCTGATCTAGTTGAAATCACAAAAGAGTGAGTTTGCCCGCAGCCGCAAATAACTCACAACAGTCACATCTTTTGCTCACATTTAATTTTTATTTATTATGTTTTTTTTAATGCTGCACACAACAATATTTATTTCATTTATTTGTTTGCTGCTTGTATTTATTTTTTTTTACGTAAAGTGAGAGGGAACTTTTGTGGCCTTTTTTTTTTAATTCTTTAACTATAGGCCGCCTTAAGCTTTCTAAATTGTATAATATTTAAGCAAGCTGAAAGGGAAAAGGGGTTTTTGCAAAAAATCACTCGGGGAAAGGAAAGGTTGCTTGGTTAATCATGCCCTACAGTGGGTGATTAACTGCTTGTAGAATTAAGTTTCATTTTTAATTAACTGTGCTTAAGGTTTTAATTATATCAGTGTTCCCTCTTTACAGCAGCTCATACTGACGAAGGTGCATGCGCTGAATGATGTCACGGCAGTCGTTGAACACGCGGCGAATGTTCTCGGTGTCCACAGCGCAAGTGAAGTGGGGGTAGCAGTAGTGGCGCCCATCTCCACTGGCGGTGCTGATTCTCTGCGGGCATCAACAGGGGACAGTCAGGGACACAGCCTTCAAGAGCCTCTTCTACTCTCCTTCAAGAGTCTCCTATGGGGACACCTCCACCTGGGGGATGCTTATTGAGTATAACTCTTGACTAGCTATTGCGTTTGGATAACCACAAACCTAACAAAGGACCTCCAGACCACTAGAAGGAAATGTCGCACTAGCTATTGGGGGGGGGGAGCTAGATAGCTTAGTCCTCACATTAACTCAGTTTATGTCCCTAAAGAAAGAGAAGGTGCTAAAGGTGGGCTCCACTCACCAGAAATTCGTCGCGGATGAAGTACTTGGCCCGGGTCACACGGGGATCCTCGCCAGGCTCAGGAGTAGCTATGGAGAAAAGCAGTTATTTTGTTATTTACGGTAACAGTACAGCTTCGAAACTATGCGGGACTCGAGTGAACCCACAAAACATGTTCTCTGGTCCAACGTAAACGTACCATCCTCAGGAGTAGTGTAGCGAGCGAACTCTGGGAAGTAGTCCTCGATCTTGGACTTGCCAGCAAGGACCTTCTCGGCCAGCAGATCTTGCTTGTTGAGGAACAGAATCACAGAGATGGTGCGCAGCCATCTACCAAGGACAGAGGCAGTTTAACGCCCAGGGGAGACTTGTTTTCTCTAACCGCGTAAAGCAAAGCAGAGCTGGGAGGTCAGGAACTGGACTGTGGGGCTAGCTGCCGGGGGCCTCGAGGGTCACGCCACAGACCTGTTGTTCCAGATGCTCTTGAAGAGGTTCAGAGCCTCCTGCAGACGGTTGGTCTGGTTGTCCTCGCGAATCACCATGTTGTAGCTGCTGCTGGCCACCACGAAGATGATGGCAGTCACATCTTAGCGACAAGACGACAGAAAGCAGCGAGTGTGAGAAGGGAGAATGGGAAGGAAGGGGACACAGAGGAGCCCCGACAAGAAGAACGAGACGTACCATTGAAGCATTGGATCCACTTGCGGCGCTCATCGCGCTGGCCGCCCACATCGAACATGCTGGGGAGGACAAGAGGCAGTTAGCTATTCACCGACCACTGGTCCACCGCTCTACAGACGGAGGGAACATCAGCGAGCTGGTGAGAAAACACTGGCAAATCCACTTACTGGAAGTTGACCTTGTCCACCTGGAACTTGGTCTCAAAGATTCCAGAAGTCAGGACACGGCAACGCAGCAGGTCCTAAAGCAAAATTCAAGTTTAGGTCACTATTTTTATGGAAACCCACCACACTATTGGTCACTGCCAATCTGGGGCAAACCCCTTGAAGAAGAACCTCAAGCAACGGGTGATGGTGAGAAGAACTGCATACCTGGTCGCTGGGCACATAGTCGGCCTGCTTGATGACATCGATTTTGTCCAGGAAGCTGGGAAGGAAAAGGCATGGTGGTGTGCTCAGGACACGTCACTCTGCCAACGATCTGCTTCTCTCTACAAAGTCAATCTACACAAACCTGACTGTGTCCAGTGACACAGCAAGAAGTCAACTGGACCTTTGCATGGATCAACACAACTGACCCCACATTATAGCTCAACATCTGCCTTAGCACAAACAGCATTTTAAAGTAAGTACTTCTAAAAAATCCATTTGGCGACTTACTTCAAATTAAGACTTGGAGGGAGGAAGAGAAAAAGGAGGAGGAAAAGGGAAGTAGCAATTTGAAATTAGCATCAAGGCATCAGGGGACCAAAGCCACTTCTACACACACGCAACGAAGTCTTGAGAAGACTCAACCCCACACACGGGACAGTGGTGTGCTGTGCCCTCACTTTTCGTCCTGCAAAGCTGGTTTTCAAGAAAGCTCAGTGGGGCTACCCAGATATGGGGCCCTTTCATCCTGACTTACCAGAAAACCTAAAACTTGTGAGCTGTTTGGCTTTGATAGAAAGAGCCAATAGTCTGGAAGTCGTGATACACACGTGCCACTTAGTTTCTTAAAAACCGTGGGCGGGCCTATTTGAAGGAGGCACACCCTCCCACTCCCTGCTACTTATGCACACAAGACTGTTTTTAACTCCTCAGTAACTGTATCCTCTCCTCCTTTTAAGAACCTCATTTATTAACGAGAACAAAGGAGGGTGGCACAGAGCGGGTGTTCGTGCCCCAAGCACCTCGAACAGGAAACTCACAGGAGGTTCCCTTCCGCTCGAGCTGGCCCAGGGGGCAGAGCACTCCAGATAGTAAAGCTTTAGGCTTTGTGTGTGTTTGTGTTTTGTTTAAAAAAGCTCCCAGTCTGCAGGTTAAAGTGCTTTATATGGTGAGAGGGCAGACAAGAGGGTCTGGGGTCCCCTCATCGCCCCAAACTCGAGAACAGCGCTAAAGTTGAACAGGAAGAAGCTCTCTATGGCCCTCTACCGCAGTAACTTTTCCTCAAGTCACAGGCTCTTTCCTAGCGTGACTACAAGCCCAATGGGGAGAAGGGACTTTTTAAAAGATGGGGGGGTAGCAAGGAGTATGGAAAAGGAATGGTCAAACTAGTTGGGGACTTTTGGGGTGGGGGAGGGGAAAAAGAGATGGGGGGATTGTTTTAAAAGTGGGTGAATTATCAAAGGCTATCAGCAAGGGAGAAGTCTATTTACAGAAACTCTCGAAGTTCCCCCCTTCCTTTTTACCAGTTTCGAGTTAGTCTGGCCTACAGGATACACTGACTTACCCAATCAGTCTACTATTACAGCACCCTGCCAGAAATAGCTCCCCAGCCGCCCTGGCCTCCAGCACCGTCGTCCTGACAACGGAACCACAGTTCTAAAAATAGACCATCAGCACCAAATCTTGTGAGAGAGACATCTGGAGTGGGGCCAGCCAAGCCCCAGCTCCGCAAATGCAAATAGGCAGTTTAAGACGCAGGCCAGGTACCAGGATCTGCACTTTACCAGGAAGGCGGGCCACCCCACAGGCCAGTGGCTGCACCCGGGGCTTGGAAGCACCTAGTGGGGGAGGCATTTTAAAAGTTTTGAGTTCCTCTCTCTTCCTCCCCTTCAGTTTCCTTAAAACTTTCCATAATCTGTGCAAATGTTGTCGTTGTGAGAGAAATACGGGGAGAAGTCACTTAGTGTTGCTACAAAAAAGTTTTTAAATGATTGATGGGGAAATGGGGGTAAAGGAACGAAAAAGGATCTCTCCTCCTCCAACCCTCAAATCTGGGATGGTGAGTCTTAATCTCGTACCTGCACTTAACTTCTGACTTGGATCCAAAATATGAAAGGCAAACAATTCCAGGATTTCCATTTGTTTTGTGTTACTATTAATAACACTTCCAGCTTTTCGTCCGAACTTTGTAGAAAACTCAGGGACTTTGTTGAAGGAGGGGTGGGGGTCACAGAGACCTGGCCAAGACGGTCCATTTGGGCTTTCTTTCCCCCTCCCCCTCTCTGGGCCTTGTAAAAATAAGACAAGTGGGCTTGTGCGTGTGCAAACTTATGTGAAGACGGAAGCCAGCAGCTGGGCTTCTTATGGAAAAGCCAGGCGGGAGAGAGAAACGGATACCAACTTCTTTACCTACTCTTAAAAACAAGCTGCTGAGGGTGGCGGGAAACCTCAGGAACGTGACTCTTTGTTTGCTCTTTGGCTGATGACCCCTTTTCCTTTCTGCTGTCACCAAAGGTCTTTAGAGGTGGGGGCTGTAAGTCTGTTGGTTCCCCCTTATTCTTCCAATAGCAAGGGAGTTCCTGAGCTGTAACTGTCTCACCCATACTTAGTGTCCCCCTAGATCACAAAAGGCACCCCAATTTCTAAATACCTTCACTGAAAGGGCTCTGTGGCCACAAACAAAGGTATCTTTGACTGTTTTTATGATCCTGACCACCAGATGCTGGCTGTATCGCAGACAGGATGAGAACAGTTGTAAAGTATTTCAAAGGCAACGTTCCAGATGTGTGGTTTACATGTGCCGGGGAGCAAGCTGCCTGGGAGAGGGCTTGGCAGGAAGGGATGAGGTTTTCAGCAGCAGACGTGGTGGGTCAGGCACGAAGGACAGGGGAGCAGTAAAATAACTTTTTTCCCACTTGTCTGTCCTCTTTCACTGATGGGTCCCTTCATCTTTCAGAATGTGGATTCTGTCAAAGGGCCTAGGATTGGACCAGCTTCACCAGGGTTCATACCTACACACAGGTGTCGCTGGGAAGATAGTGGAAGGCTGGTACCAGGGAGGAAGAGGCGGGGCCTAAGCTGGGTGGGGGTGGGAGGTGAAGCAGGGATGCACTCATCTTTATCAGAGCCTCTGGAGAAGCCTGGATTGTTCTAGGAGCACACCTGTTTTCCAACAGGGCCAGATGCCAGTTTTAGCCAATTAAGTGAGGTGAGGTGAAGAGAAAAGGCCCTTCCTAAATTCATTTCCTCTTTGCAGAAAACCTGAGCTATGACCACAGGTGAAAAGCCAGAGGTCTGATCATTCAGGGACCACCTGCCTGTGACGCCGCTGGGTCACTGAGGTGAGCTGTGTTCAGGACAGACTCGGTCCCCGACTCCTCAACCATCACTCTCAGGTTCTCACTGAGGCCATGTGTAGGGCCAACTTAACCTCTGACAGGGTCCCAGCCACGGTCCTGTACTCTTGGGCATAGGACACGAGATCCCCAGACCACTTACCATCCTGGAACTATGGCCCTCTGTGAGTGAACAAGGACTGAGACTGAGTTCAAAGGTCAAAACACAAATCTCAGCCTAGCGAGAGGAGTCCATTTGGTGGCATGAGTGGCTAGGCGGCACTCAACAGTGGAGGCTGGGGTTCACTGCAGCCCTTACTCTCTTTTTATGTTTATAAACCACAGCCCGAGACAGTCTGTTCGGGGGTGGGGGGCCTTCCCTGGGCCCTGAAATAGGTGGAGGTCAGTTCAATTAACTCATTAAATTACTCCAAGCTAATTAATTACGAGTATCACTTTCTCACAAGTAATTATCCTATTACTTTCTCAGGCAGTAACTGTTTATATAAAATACTGTTGTCCACATGAACCAGTTCAATCAGGGCTTTCCAGAGCCCATGAATCAGCCTAGGCCTTTCTAACTGCAGGTAGGAAGAAAGGACTGGCTTCTGCCAACAGAAGTCATCCGCAGGTAACTTGGTGGTGAGCACTGTGAGCGTGGGCGTTTCACGCCTTTCTGCCTAGTTTGCTCGCCTCCTTCTCTTTTTTGGGGGGGAGGGAGGGTGTCACTTACTACTGGGCACAGTCGATGAGCTGGTACTCATTGGCACGCTCGTAGCAGGCACGCACCCCTTCATCTTCCCAGAGCGCCTTGGCATGCTCGTAGAATTCCTGAAAGGGATGCCAGAAAGGGGGATTTAGAGAGAGGGAGGTGCTGGCCTCGAACTGAGTATGCTGTGTGGGGAACCCCCAGACTATACTGGACCACCCCCTCTTCTGATGTCTTGAGTGTGAACCAAATGAATACACTTGCTTAAAAGGGATGCAAGGTGCTACACATGGTCAGAGGCAGCTGGGCTTTAAGACCACCACTGTCTCACTGCTGTCAACGGCTGGCTTTGGATGCAGTCAGTAGTTCTGGGGTTTTGCCTCTTTCTGTTGGAGGGGAAAAGTGAACGACTGAATAATTGTTTGACTTCACGGCACTGTTTACTTCGGAAGACTATACACTAATCTGTGTTTGGTGGCCGTGCCAATGAGTGATTCAGTACTGTGAAAACAAGAACCTTCGTTCTTAAGATGTGCTGGGACCAGGACTTCTTTCTAGGAAAATGTCAATTTTAGCCTCAAAAGATGATGACAGGCAATGGCTGGCCATGCTGGGCCAATCTTTTGGGTAAAAGGATGGTTGATGGGAATGACTGCTCTCAGGGATAAATGCTAAATTTTGTCAGTTTTATAACTTGAATGTGAAGGGCCTTTGTGTCCACACATCTAGGTCTACCTGAATCACAACGGTTTATGCTTCTGAGTCTCAATGGCAGGTTGGGGCTTGAAGGTAATGAACTGACACATATTCTGGGAGGAGGCAGCGGAAGAGTAAGGAGTAAGTGGCCGTTTTAGAAGACAGACCCCAAAGTGTATGTCAAGAGTGACAAAAGGTAATTAATACTCAGTGGTCCTGTCAACCCACTGTCATCTTCTCTTCCATTACGAATATTGTTTATATGTTTTAAAAAGCTAATGGTTTTCAGCATACATTGTGTTTACTGCTTCGATTTTTGTTTCTTCTGCCAAACAAGTGGCTATTTTTAAAATGTTACCTCCTCATCTGCAGAGAGGGCAGCAGTATGAGCATACAAGTTTGCAGCCCAACCCACTAAAAATACACAAATTCCCACGAAAGCTGAACAAAAGGCAACAATAACTCATTGTTTTAACTGCAGACAAGTCTCTTCCTTCGGGGCCTCATAAACTCGAAAATCTTTCCATCTTGCTTCCCGTCCTTTTTTACAGACCATTGTCCCCCATGAGGGGGCCAAGGCAGAAACTTTGGAGCAGGAATGTAGTCTACACTCCCTAAAAAACTGTTCTTCGTGTAGCAGACGCACTGTCAGTACCACGCTTGCCAGTCGACAAGCTGGTGTGCACTGTTGAGTTGGAATCAACTCAATGTTGACCTTTGAGCGGGTTTTCAGGGGCAGTTAATTGCACAGGAGATGGGGCCATTGTCCTGCCAGGCAGTGTGTGGATTTGAACTCAACACCCTTAGGCTGGCAGGGCAACTGCTAACTATTAGGTCACCAGAGGCTCCTGGAAAAGGAGCTTCCGAAGGATGTCTTTGGGGGCTTATGGGTTTTCTGGTTGATAGTTTATAGAGGCCAACCTTTTATCTTAAAATAGGCCTGTCTTTGGGGGTGTCAACTGTCCTCATCAAACAGACAATTCCTATTTGCATCCCACTTTCGGTATGATGTTATGGAGGGGATGAAGTAAGCCTGTCACAGCTCAGGCCTTTTTGTGTCATTAAAAACTTAGTCTAATACAGTGAGGTCTGCAGTTCTGCAGGGTGGCGTTTCCGGGTGGGCATGGGCAAGGCCGCACCACAGTGCCCTAACCAGGAAGCCATGTGTGCAGTGAGCTCTTCTTCCCCAGGTCAGGGGTCCTGACCTGTGGACTAGACATGTGCTTGCCCCATGTGACGTCAATGCTGCCGCCACCTGGTATCCAGATGAGCTGCTCCTCGCCTGTCACCCTACCTGCCAGGGGAAGGGAACTGAGGCCACCCAACCCCAGGCCAGAGCTTACAGGGGGGAAATCAAAGTCAGGCACGTTCATCACGCTCAGGATGTAGTCCACTCTGAACTGGTTCTCAGGGTTGGCCAGCTCCACAGGGGGAACCAGGTTGCTCATGGCGGCCACAATGGTCTGCAAGGATGGAACGAGAGGTCAGGGCGGGGGCAGTGCCTGCACAGGGGACTAATGTCTGAGGGCAGGGGGCACAGCACATACTTCAATGGCCTCCTTCAGGTTGTTTTTGATGTCCTGCACTTTCGTTGCCTTCTCACTACAGTGGGATTGAAAAGAAAAGAAGACATCATATAGCACCCCACCGCTGCTGGCATGTCTGTCAAGATGTTCCAACTAAAAGCATAGTATTCTGTTCTTCCATGGGGTGTGGGCCGATTTGTGCAGATACCTGCATAAAGGCAGCGTCAAGGTCCCCCAGGTGCCCGAGGGACGTGCCCCGTGGGGGTGGACGTAAGGGGGGGGTTAGCAAGCTGTTACAGGGAGGAGTGTTAGTTGCTGGAGCAGAAGTTGGCAGTTCATTTCCTATTGCAAATGTATCGACCTTTTACGTCCCTATGCCTGACACACCTATGCTATTGCTCATAGCTGACCCTCCAGTAGGTTTTGAGGCACACAGGAGATTGTCCATCAGTCTCCACAGAGCAGTAGGTAGATTCAAACTGCGGACCTCTGAAGTGGCAGTGCAATTCTTTACCACTAAGGTATCAGAGCTCTGCGATCCCTACTGTGTTCCCTGAAAAGATTCCGTGTGTGTGTGAGGGAAGGGGGAAGAAGAGTCACTGTAGGTGGATGGGAGGAGAGAGCTATCAGGTGGGACAACGCGGATCTGAGCTCTGGAGGAGTGAACAAAGGATGAGGTTGGGTTGGGGACTGAGGAAGTGGTTACTACGCTGTAGCCTCTGTTAAAACCCTAATTCAGGGCTGTGGCCCCTTACTCATTTCTTAGTGATGGTTGTGTGAGCCAGCCAATAGGTGGGACATTCATGAGATGGGCCTCAGTGTGGATAGGGTCAGACCAGATGCTGCCCCTCCCCGCCCCAAACCCTGAGTGCTTAGTACCAGGGTCTCAGTGGGGGAAGAAGGGGAGGGGTCTGCACGGCAGAGGCTGGAAGGATGCTTCTGTGTTAACGGTGGTCTCACTGATGTCAGGGACAGGCAGAATGCTGTGTGGTCACCGATCTGCATGCCAGGTTACATCGGCCCAGATGCTAGAAAGCTTTGAGACGCCTGCAAGGTGGTGTCTGGAGCAGGGCAGTTGTGCTAACTGTGGGGTCTGTTTATGGGGATCCAAGAAGGACCACTTTGCTTGAGGGGTGAATAGACCCTCCCATCACATACTTATGTTAGGCCCCACCCCTTTCCGTGAGGGTCAGAGGTTCGGAGAGAGGTGTTCCCGTTGTGGGGGGTGGGAGGGTTAAGGGGAGCAGAGCTCATCTGCTTGCTGTCATTTTCATAAACGTCACTGTTCAGTGTGAGGTCCCCGCTAGGTTAGTGCCCCCCCCCCCAGCTGGGACAGAAGAGGAAGAACCCCTCTGGAGACAGAGTTAGTGTGTAGGAGTGGGAGGGGCAGGGAAAGCAGGGGTCCGGAGTGAAGGCAGCCTGCTTTGCAGCCCCTCTACCTCTCCAGGCAATGACATGCAGGGCTGACTCTCAGAATGGACACTCAAGCTTTACTTGAGGGGGACCCTTCTGCTCCCTAAGAGCCCTCCCACCCTGTTCCCATGATCCCAGCATGGAAATAAGGGCCTTCGTCACTTCTCTGTCACTGCAGGGAGGGGCAGGGGTAAAAAGGGGCAAACTTGTGGTCAAGGGTGCAAGGGGGTGGGGTAGGCAGGAGTTCCAAGAGCACCCCAAACAGACAGTTAACAGCAGTGGCACAGTTTACAGACCTGCCACAGGAACAGGCATGGCAAGGCGGTGTCCCTGCAGACTGAGGGGCGGGGGGAGTGAAGGAAGAGAGGGGCATTCCCTGCAGACCCCAAAGCTGGCCTGTCCCCTCCTGTCAATCTGGAGGGGGGGCAGTGTGACACCTGCCCTGCCCCCCCCACACAGAGCATGCTTCTGTGATCCATCAGTCATGTGACTTGCAGACCAAGGTGCGTGATTTAGGGGCTAGAAGGAAGATGAGTTTTTTTGATAGCTCTGGGGGCCACTCTATACAGAGCGGGGGCAAAGCATTCTCAGAGACGAGACTCCCTCGCTCAGTTGGGTATTTTGGTCTTAGTAGTAGTAGTATGATAATTGGAAATCTTCCAGTCTTAAATATGGATATTTTGAGAACGTGTTCAGGATTCATCTACGTATGTGAATAGGTGTGGGAGTGTAGCAAGTATAAAACAGCTAAAATAGAAATTGAAAATCTAATTTGGGTGTGTAATACTAAAACATAAAAATCCTTCCATTGAAGCAATTACTGCGTAGATGGAGGTATTATACTGGGGGCTGGCAGATTGAACATCATTTTTACGAGGGCTTAATCAATTTAAGATCAAGTTGTGAAATTCTGAGAAAATGTCTCCCATCTCAAAGTGACTTAACAAAAACAGAGCATCCGTCAGTGGTTAGAACTCTGAATACAGGAGGGGTGCTGGCAGTACTCTTGGCAGCTGTTGTCAACCCCTCTCCCACCCGTAAGGTAGACTAGGTGGGCTCAAAGTTCAAGCTCATTCCCCCCCCCCCAGCTAAGCATCAAGGAAGGTGACAGGCTTCATTCAGGGCTTGCAGCTTCTCTCAACTTTTGCAGAAGACAGAGGAGGAAGGCGGAAGACAGACGCAAGATACAGGGATTGCTGAGGCATGCGAAGTAGTTTTTATTTATCATGTCATAATTGTAATACTGTTGTTAATACTGTTGTTAGGCTGAAGAACAGGTTCACAGACAGAGCAGGCAGGGTTATTAGTTGGGGTGGAGGGTGGGCCACGAGACTGAGAAGACAGGCGGCTACTTAAGAGTCACTATTCCTTAGATGCCAACTTCTGGTGCAGCTCTCACTGTGTTTATGCAGGTACCAGTGTTAAGGGTGGTGATTACACATTTTGGCCAATTAGAGGATCCCGATACTTTTGTGGTTGACTGACAAGAGTTCTCATCAAAGGTCAGATGTCAGGTAGCAGGTAGCAGATAGTAGTAGTAGGCGGCAGGTAGCAGGTAGGCAGTGGGGCCCCCTCCCCCTCCCCCCTCCCCGTAACAGAATAGTATCCTTATTAGAAGATCCTAAGGTAGAGCAAGTCCAGCATGCAAGTGGGATTGGACATAGCCGGGAGGATGAGAAACTGTAGTCACCATCTAGAAATAATAGTCTCTAAAAGAAACAGATGAACAAACACGTGTCAGTTACTTTGTCCCCGACCTTGGTATTGTCTGTCCCTCCCTTCCCTGGCCAGAGCAGCTCGCTCTGCGAGGTACGCTAAGGCTGGGTCCAGTGGCTGTGCGGATTCTCACAGGACTGCATGCTGACGGCCAGCCGGGCCAACCTGGCATGCATGTGTGCGCGCCTGCATGTGTGTTCACGTGTGTGAGGATGCAGGAAGTGAGAGGGGGAGAAGGCTGACAAGGCCTTGAGCAAGGACGTGTGAAAAACAAAGGCCCCGCTGCCTCCTTCCCCCAAAATCAGGCCAACTGCTCCACAAAGATCCAAATACGCCCCCTTTCTCCCTCCAAGAGGATCCACCTCCTGAAAGGTGCCAGGGGTGGGTGAGCTGGGGTTTCTGGAGGAGGGGGAACAATTTTAAAAACTTCAAAATGAAGGACTGTATGGTGCTGCGGACTTTAGTAACAGAAGGTAAAATTCACCTCAAGGAGGTCTGAAATCTGAAGAGCAGACAACCACTGGGTGGACGGGATTCAGTAGATAGTTTTTAAAAACAAGCAGTTGATTCAAATAAGAGAAATGAGGGAGTGTGTGTGGGGGGGAATAGAAACCATATGGAAAATCGTCAATTTACAAAATCCTAACCTGATGGCCTAAGGCTGCCATCGACAACTCTCCCCCCAGCTGGATCTGATTAGCCTGGAAGCAAGGCCAAAAAAGAAAAAAAAGATTCTTTTTGCTCCAAGATGCTGAGAGCTGGTCTGCGTGTTAGTGAGAAGAGAACGGGTGGCTCAATGAGTGATGTCTGCTGTCTCCTAGGTCTCTGCCCTTGGTTACCCAGCATAATCTTCCTGTGTGTTTGTTAGAGTTTTTCTGTTTTAGAATGTGCCTACCCATCGCTGTTGCTCCTGGTAGCCTGCGCGTCCTCTTCGCCGCCCCTTTTAAAGAGAGATTAAAAGCTCACCTAATCTGCAAGGCACCGCAATTTCCAATAACAACCATAATAATAATAATAATAATAAGT